GTGAAAGGAGCGGAAAAGTACCTCGGTATGAGAGGTGTTTCCTGGGAACAGGTGAACAAAAGGTTGGAGGAGGAGAAGAGAATGGTTGTGGGAGGGGGAAGTGAGAGAGTAGTATGAAAATCATTCAATGGAATGCAAGGAGTTTAATGGCTAATGGGCAGGAGTTAAAAGGTTATGTGCTGAACAAGGAGAGGAGGCCTGATATTATGTGTGTTCAGGAAACGTGGCTCAGGCCATCATTGGATTTTGTGATTAGGGGGTATGAATGTGTGCGTAGGGATAGACAAGGTGGTAATGGTGGAGGGTGTGCTGTTTTTATTAAAAATGGAATGCAGTATAGGGTGGTAGAGGTGTGGGTGAGTGAGGGGAAAGTTACCCTGGTGAATTTCTATAATCCCTGTAGGAGGCTAACAATGGATATGTTGCAGGAACTGGATGATCACCTAAAGGGTAAAGTAGTATGTTGTTGTGATTTTAATGCACATAGCACATTGTGGGGTGAACGGAATGATGAGAATGGGGCAGTGATTGAGGAATTATTGGATGCTAGGAATTTAGTGTGTCTGAATGATGGGAGTGGAACACGGATTGACTTCCGGAATGGGAATGAATCTGCACTAGATCTTACTCTAGTGTCAGAGTCTATTGCAGGGAATTTTAAGTGGAGGGTTGATAAGGAGACTACTATAGGTAGTGACCATTATCCTGTAGAGGTTGAGTTGGGATTCAGTGTTGAAAAAGTTACCACAGAGGGGGTAGGGAAATGGAGTTTTAGTGGTGTTAAGTGGGATAGATTTAGTTACATATGTGATAGGGAAATGGAAAGAGTAAATGTTAATGGAAGTGTGAATGATTTTAATAGTTCTCTATGTAGTGCAATTTTGGAGGCAGCCAAACAGACAATCAAGAAGAAAGGAGGAAAGGCTCAAAGGAAGAGTGTTCCTTGGTGGTCAGATGAATGTAATAATGCTATTAAGGATAGAAACAAGGCTTTTAAAGTGTTTAAGAGGAATCATTGTTTCCAAAATCTGTGTAACTATAAACGGAAGCTCGCTGTAGTAAGGAGAGTTGTTAAAGAAACTAAAAGAGCATACTGGGCACGATATTGTGATACTTTAGGGAGGCAAACATCAGTGGGTCAAATATGGGGGACAATTAGGAGAATGGGAGGAAGTAAAGCTAGTTTTGGGTATCCAGCAATGTCATCTGGTGGAAGTGTAATTTTAACTAATAAAGGCAAGGCTGATCTTTTAGCTCAGCAGTTTGTGAAAGTCCATAGTAATGGAAATTTAAGTGAAGAAGAAAGGAGAGGAAGGAGGGAAACAGTTAGATGTAATTTGAATAGTTTTGAGGATGTGGAGGAGTGTGACAATGCAATTAATGATGAGTTCAGTATTTGGGAGTTGAACAGGGCATTAAGCAGATGTGGCAATACTAGCCCTGGAGAGGATGACATAAGCTATTGTATGCTGAGAAACTTGAGTGATAGAAGTAAGATTGTGTTGTTAAAGTTGTATAACAAAGTATGGGTAGAGAGTAGACTGCCAGAGCAATGGAAAGAGGCAATTGTAGTTCCTATTTGTAAACCAGGTAAAGATCCTTCTGCTGCAGAAAGTTACAGACCAATAGCTTTAACATCACATGTTGGGAAGGTAATGGAGAGAATGATTAATGATAGGCTAGACTATTTTCTGGAAAAGAATGCGTTGATCAAGAATCACCAGTATGGTTTTAGGAAGGGTAGGAGTACAGTAGACCCTTCTTTGCTTTTAGAAGACGAAATTAGGAAGGCGCAGGTGAACAAGGAGTGCGTTGTCTCCGTGTTTTTTGACGTTGAGAAAGCATATGATATGATGTGGAGGGAGGGGCTGATTATAAGATTGCATAAGATGGGTGTACGGGGGAAGATGTTGAAATGGGTTAGAGATTTCTTATCAGGGAGAAAGATATCAGTCCGAGTAGGGAAAGAGTGTAGCTCAAAGTTTGAGGTTGAAAATGGCACGCCACAGGGCAGCATTGTAAGTCCAGTAATATTTACAATTATGATAAATGAAATTTTTTGTGACATTGAGTCATCAATTGGAGTGTCACTGTTTGCGGACGATGGTATAGTGTGGAAAAGGGGGAAAAATGTACGGTATATTGTTAAAAAGTTGCAAGAAGCTATCGGGATGGTTGAAGCCTGGTCAACAAAATGGGGTTTCAGATTTTCAATGAGTAAAACAAAAGTCATGTTTTTTACCAGGAAAAGAGTGGGAGATGACATTAATCTTACTTTATATGGGAAGAATCTTGAACGAGTGAATGTGTTTAAGTACTTAGGGTTAGTGTTTGATAGTAAGTTGACATGGGCAGCCCATATTAATAAGGTAATAGAGAAGTGCAAAAAGGTGATGAATGTAATGAGGTGTCTTAGAGGACGGGACTGGGGAGCTAGTCGGAATTGTATTAAAACTGTGTATGTGGCGTTAATCAGGTCTGCTTTAGACTTTGGATGTGTGGTATACGGCTCTGCGGCAAAAAGTAATTTAAAGAAGCTAGATGTTGTACAATGTAAAGCCTTGAGAATATGTTGTGGGGCTGCAAGATCCACTCCAGTCTCTGCACTGCAGGTGGAGATGAATGAGATGCCTCTGAAGTTTAGGAGATTGCAGTTGACCTTAGTGTATTGGGCCAATTTGCAGGGGAGCAGTAGAGATCATCCTTGTCAGAGAATTTTAAAACCAACTCAGGAGAGAGAAAGAGCGCAACTGGCCAGTTTTGGCTGGGTAATAGAGGAGGCGGTGGAGAATGCAGGACTAAGAAATCTAGAGGTATGTCCTGTAGTCCTAAGTTCTGCTATCCCTCCGTGGGAGTTATTGGAGCCTCATGTGGATTTAACTCTTTTGAAGAAAAAGAACTATAATAATAACAATGTAGAGGTGTACATCTGGGAGAAGTTTTCTGAGCATCTAGAGATTTATACTGACGCATCAAAAATGGAGGATGGGAGAGTGGGCGTTGCTGTAGTAATCCCTAAATTGGGAATAAACACCTGTAAAAGAACAAGTGATAACTTGGCAGTCTACACAGCAGAGCTGGTGGCTTTGTTATTGGCCATGATATGGATTGAAGAAAATGCGACTGTAGTAACTAAGGTAGTGGTAGCGTCTGATTCCAGTAGTGCGCTGTCAAGTATTAAAAGTTTGGTTTCAGAATCGAGACAGGATTTAGTTTTTGAGATAGCACTAATAATGCAAAGGTTAAAGAGAGCAGGGAAACAAGTGGTGTTATTATGGGTACCAGCGCATATAGGGGTAAGGGGGAATGAGATGGCGGACAGATACGCTAAAAAGGGTGCAAGGAGTGGGGCTCTGGATTTCCCTGTTAGAATAAGCAAGGCAGAAGTGAAAAGTCTTATCAAAGTTAGAATTAAAGAGATGTGGCAGAGAAGCTGGGAGGAGGAGGATAAAGGACGGTTTTATTTTAATGTGCAGCATCAAGTGGGACAAGAGGTAATAGGAGGAGAATTCAGCCGGAGAGAGGAAGACGTGATAACACGACTGAAATTAGGACATACCTACTTGAACGGTACATTAAGTTTAATGGGAAAACATCCGACTGGACAATGTGAGCACTGTGGAGGCAGAGAAACTGTTGAGCATGTCCTTATGGAATGACCAAGAGAGTTGCTTAAGATCTATGTGAATGGGCACAACAGAACATTTTCCTTAAAAGAAGTATTGAGTGGGTGTAGTTCGGTAGGGGGGGTTAGAGTAGTTTTGCGTTTCCTTCGAAGCACAGGGTTATTCTTTAGAATATAGAAGACTGAAGGACTGAAGGGGCCGTCCTGGCCCACACTCCATTTCGGAAGGTGGCGGTAATGCACCTCAAGGTTGTTTGCCAACCGCCAATAAACCTCAATAGAAGAAGAAGAAGAAGTAGTCTCAGGGTTCTGCTTAAAGCACAGAGAGAACCATGAAGACAAAGGAACACACCAGGCAGGTCCGAGATACTGTTGTGGAGAAGTTTAAAGCCGGATTTGGATACAAAAAGATTTCCCAAGCTTTAAACATCTCAAGGAGCACTGTGCAAGCAATTATATTGAAATGGAAGGAGTATCAGACCACTGCAAATCTACCAAGACCCGGCCGTCCCTCCAAACTTTCATCTCAAACAAGGAGAAGACTGATCAGAGATGCAGCCAAGAGGCCCATGATCACTCTGGATGAACTGCAGATAACTACAGCTGAGGTGGGAGAGTCTGTCCATAGGACAACAATCAGTCGTGCACTGCACAAATCTGGCCTTTATGGAAGAGTGGCAAGAAGAAAGCCATTTCTCAAAGATATCCATAAAAAGTCTTGTTTAAAGTTTGCCACAAGCCACCTGGGAGACACACCAAACATGTGGAAGAAGGTGCTCTGGTCAGATGAAACCAAAATCAAACTTTTTGGCCACAATGCAAAACGAAATGTTTGGCGTAAAAGCAACACAGCTCATCACCCTGAACACACCATCCCCACTGTCAAACATGGTGGTGGCAGCATCATGCTTTGGGCCTGCTTTTCTTCAGCAGGGACAGGGAAGATGGATAATACACAGGAAGAAGAAAGGTTAGATTTTACATCCATAGGGTAAAGCGAATTAAATTATTATTAAAACTTCAGAATTGTATGGGTAAATGGGCATATAGAGTCTTTGGTAAAATATAGCTGATATAATAATATATACTAAGCATTAGCGTAATTTATAGTTAATTAGAATAACACATAAGACATTATTCGCGTTTAATAGTCTATTCTTTCAGCATTGTTATGTGGATGTCACACGGAGAGACTTCGTTATGACTGAAAGGGACTGTAGCCAATCAGAAACCCTCGTGTGCTCCCATACGTAGCGCTGATTGGCTGCAGAGGTGGGCGGTGCGTGCTGTGTCCACGCTGGTGTTACAGTCAAAGTCGTCCGCTCCGTCCTTTTGGGTGAAGGTTCATCGCGGTGACCGTCACTTCTGCTGCAGGATGTCTGGCCGTGTTCTTGTGGGGGTCAAGCGTGTGATTGATTATGCCGTCAAGGTACAGCGCTGAAGCCTCTATTTCATCTCTTTGTTATCATTTATATGCCATTGCTAATGTTAAATATGTTTAACTCTTTCGTAATGCTAACAGAAGCTAGCCTGCTACATGCTACCTGTCCATTCACCTTTTCTCCCTCTGGAAACAGCTGTAATCATGTGCAGTAGCTCAGCTGTAGTGCTGCTGTTAACCAGACTAGCTTCCATGTTTACCCTGGATTCTGTAAAACATTGTTCAGTGCTAGTGTAGTTTTCAGTCCTTTCTATGAGACACTATGAACTTAGTCTAAAGTAATAACCTTGTTCTTGTTTTCCAACTTAAAATGTCTGTTTACATCCAGATCCGTCCTGCCACAGCTGCCCACAGCAGGATCTGGACAGTGCTGCCTTGAACTCTGCTGAGAGTGACCACTGACTTCTGCCACTTGTCAATGTTATTCTTTTTAAGTTTCTGACTCGACACGACTTCACTTTATATCTGTTTTTCGAAATGTCTCGTGTCACAGATGCATTTATCTCGATATAATTGGCAGGTGTCGTCCCACATGCATTAAGACATGTTTGTGAATGTATTTATAATCATCTGTTGAAGCTTTAGGACCTTTCTATGGACAGAGGGGTCTTTACAAATGTTTTCAATACATTACCTGTACAGTGTAAACATTGTTATTATGAAGACCAAGCTGTCCACACTCATGTAATGTATGAGAAGTCGCCCAAAATATAATTACTTTTATTGTGATAATTTGAATGAATTGCTGATGTATATTATTACAGAGAGAGGAAGACTGAAAAGGAGGAGGCTGAAGCTAATACTTATGTCTCCTCCTCTTTTTACAATTCACTTCACTTTATCGATACATTTTATAAAACAAGTGCCATTAGTGAAAGTATACATTAGGAAGAAACTACAAATGTTAATGCAGCTCTCCAATATTATATTTCTAAACCTCTTTTGGAAGTGGAAAGGTGAACTACATGATTTAGGTTCATTCCAAAGATCAACAACTTTTCAATATAAATATTAGATTTTGTCGTCTCCATGAACCTTCTCCATTGTTTCTACTTTAGAATCACATCATAAAGAATCACTTTTCAGAAAGCAAGTGACGTCTGTATTTCTGTTTCGATCACCAAAATATATTAGTGACATGTTAGTCCCATATGAACCAGCCCGGACTCTGAGGAGCACAGGGACTGGCCTCCTGCTGGGACTCTGAGGAGCACAGGGACTGGCCTCCTGCTGGGACTCTGAGGAGCACAGGGACTGGCCTCCTGCTCGGACTCTGAGGAGCACAGGGACTGGCCTCCTGCTGGGACTCTGAGGAGCACAGGGACTGGACTCCTGCTGGGACTCTGAGGAGCACAGGGACTGGACTCCTGCTGGGACTCTGAGGAGCACAGGGTCTGGTCTCCTGCTGGGACTCTGAGGAGCACAGGGACTGGACTCCTGCTGGGACTCTGAGGAGCACAGGGACTGGACTCCTGTTAGTGCCCAGAGTCAGAACTAAACATGGGGAGGCTGCTTTTCAGATTAATGCTGCTAAAATCTGGAACAATCTTCCTGAAGATGTGAGACAGGCCTCCTCTCTGACAATGTTTAAAACCAGGTTAAAGACAGTTCTATTTATCTGTGCTACAACTGAGGGATTTTATATTTTCATCTTTCTTTTTAATGTTCTGTGATTATTTATGATTTTAATGCTTTCTTGTTTTGTTCAGCACTTTGAGTTGCCTTGTGTATGAATTGATGATGATGATTCTGAGGTTCCATTTCCTGTGGCTCTGGTCAGATCCGAGTGAAGCCCGATAAGAGCGGAGTGGTGACTGATGGCGTCAAACACTCCATGAACCCTTTCTGTGAGATCGCGGTGGAAGAGGCGGTCAAAATGAAGGAGAAGAAGCTCATTAAAGAAGTGGTGGCCGTGAGCTGCGGACCCCAGCAGGCACAGGTGGGCACTTCACTCTCTCTGGTCTCTCTCTCTCTGGTGTCTCTCCCTCTGGTGTCTCTCTCTCTGGTCTCTCTCTCTCTGGTGTCTCTCTCTCTGGTCTCTCTCTCTCTGGTCTCTCTCTCTGGTGTCTCTCTCTGGTGTCTCTCTCTGGTGTCTCTCTCTCTGGTGTCTCTCTCTCTGGTCTCTCTCTCTCTGGTGTCTCTCCCTCTGGTGTCTCTCTCTCTGGTCTCTCTCTCTCTGGTGTCTCTCTCTGGTCTCTGGTCTCTCTCTCTGGTGTCTCTCTCTCTGGTGTCTCTCTCTCTGGTCTCTCTCTCTCTGGTGTCTCTCTCTCTGGTGTCTCTCTCTGGTCTCTCTCTGGTCTCTCTCTGGTCTCTCTCTCTGGTCTCTCTGGTTTCTCTCCCTCTCTGGTCTCTCTGGTCTCTCTCTCTCTGGTGTCTCTCTCTGGTCTCTCTCTGGTCTCTCTCTGGTCTCTCTCTCTGGTGTCTCTCTCTGGTGTCTCTGGTGGCCGTGAGCTGCGGACCCCAGCAGGCACAGGTGGGCACTCTTCATTATGGCAGCCTCTGATAGGACGGGACAAACATGTGACTGCAGAGGGACATGAGGAGCTGAGGTTTGGACTTATACCCATCTGTTTCTGTGATCCTGTTGTATTGATGTCTCCCGTGAGTAAAGATATGAGTGTAATGTATGACACTGAGAAGCTTCCGGAACAATCTCTGTCACGACACACGCCTCAGTCACATGTCATGGAAGAAAAACAGATTTGTTTTTATGTTACATACACAACATTATTTTTATTATGTTTCTCCCACTACCTCTCTCTATCTCTGTGGTCTCTCCCCCTCTCTCTCTTCTAACTCCCTCTCTCTCTCTGGTCTCTCTCCCTCTCTCTTTGATCTCTCTCTCTGGTCTCTCCCCCTCTCTGCTGTCTCTCCCTCTCTCTCTCTCTCTGGTGTCTCTCTGGTTTTTCTCCCTCTCTGGTCTCTCTGGTTTCTCTCCCTCTCTGGTCTCTCTGGTTTCTCTCTCTGGTCTCTCTCTGGTGTCTCTCTCTCTCTGGTCTCTCCCCCTCTCTCTTTAATCGCTCTCTCTCTGGTCTCTCTGGTTTCTCTCTCTGGTCTCTCTCTGGTCTCTCTCCCTCTCTGTTCTCTGTCTCTCCCTCTCTTTCTCTGGTTTCTCTCTCTCTGGTCTCTCCTCCCCTCTGGTCTCTCTATCTGCTGTCTCTAGTTTCTCTCCCTATCTGGTCTCTCTCCCTCTTTCTCTGGTCTCTCTCTCTCTGGTCTCTCCTCCCCTCTGGTCTCTCTCTCTGCTGTCTCTAGTTTCTCTCCCTCTCTGGTCTCTCTCTGTCTCTCCCTCTCTCTCTCTGGTTTCTCCTCCTCTGTGGTCTCTCTCCCTCTTTCTCTGGTCTCTCTCTCTGGTCTCTCTCTCTGGTGTCTCTCTCGCTGGTCTCTCTCTCTGGTCTCTCCTCCCCTCTGGTCTCTCTCTGGTTTCTCTCTCTCTGGTCTCTCTCTCTCTGGTGTCTCTCCCTCTGGTCTCTCTCTCTCTGGTGTCTCTCTCTGGTCTTTCCTCCCCGCTGGTGTCTCTCTCTCTGGTGTCTCTCTCTGGTGTCTCTCTCTGGTCTCTCCTCCCCGCTGGTCTCTCTCTCTGGTCTCTCTCTCTCTGGTGTCTCTCTCTGGTCTCTCCTCCCCTCTGGTCTCTCTCTCTGGTTTCTCTCTCTGGTCTTTCCCCCTGTCTGGTGTCTCCCTCTGGTCTCTCCTCCCCGCTGGTCTCTCTCTCTGGTCTCTCTCTCTCTGGTGTCTCTCTCTGGTCTCTCCTCCCCTCTGGTCTCTCTCTCTGGTCTCTCTCTCTGGTCTTTCCCCCTCTTTGGTGTCTCTCTCTGGTCTCTCTCTCTCTGGTCTCTCCTCCCCGCTGGTCTCTCTCTCTGGTCTCTCTGGTGTCTCTCTCTGGTCTCTCCTCCCCGCTGGTCTCTCTCTCTGGTCTCTCTCTCTCTGGTGTCTCTCTCTGGTCTCTCCTCCCCTCTGGTCTCTCTCTCTGGTCTCTCCTCCCCGCTGGTCTCTCTCTCTGGTGTCTCTCTCTGGTGTCTCTCTCTGGTCTCTCCTCCCCTCTGGTCTCTCCTCCCCTCTGGTCTCTCTCTCTGGTCTCTCCTCCCCTCTGGTGTCTCTCTCTGGTCTCTCTCTCTGGTCTCTCCTCCCCGCTGGTCTCTCCTCCCCTCTGGTCTCTCTCTCTGGTCTCTCTCTCTGGTCTCTCCTCCCCTCTGGTCTCTCTCTCTGGTCTCTCTCTCTGGTCTTTCCCCCTCTCTGGTGTCTCTCTCTGGTCTCTCTCTCTGGTCTTTCCCCCTCTCTGGTCTCTCCCTCTGGTCTCTCACTCTCTGGTCTCTCTCTCTGGTGTCTCTCTCTGGTGTCTCTCTCTGGTCTCTCCTCCCCTCTGGTCTCTCTCTGGTCTCTCTCTCTGGTCTCTCCCCCTCTTTGGTGTCTCTCTCTGGTCTCTCTCTCTCTGGTCTCTCCTCCCCGCTGGTCTCTCTCTCTGGTCTCTCTGGTGTCTCTCTCTGGTCTCTCCTCCCCGCTGGTGTCTCTCTCTGGTGTCTCTCTCTGGTCTCTCCTCCCCTCTGGTCTCTCTCTGGTGTCTCTCTCTGGTCTCTCTCTCTGGTCTCTCCTCCCTGCTGGTCTCTCCTCCCCTCTGGTCTCTCTCTCTGGTCTCTCTCTCTGGTCTCTCTCTCTGGTCTCTCTCTCTGGTCTTTCCCCGTCTCTGGTGTCTCTCTCTGGTCTCTCACTCTCTGGTCTCTCTCTCTGGTCTCTCTCTCTGGTCTCTCTCTCTGGTCTTTCCCCCTCTCTGGTGTCTCTCTCTGGTCTCCTCTAACTATACCATGTGTGTTACTCTCAGGAGACCATCCGCACTGCCCTGGCCATGGGAGCAGACAGAGGGATCCATGTCCAGGTCACTGGTAAAGACTATGAGAGCCTGGGGCCGCTGCAGGTGTCAAAGATCTTTGCTGCTCTCGCCAAAAAGGAGGAGGCTCAGCTCGTCATCCTCGGGAAACAGGTGAGAAGTTGTTCTGCTCAGGTTTACCTCCTGGTGTCTGTGTTTGATGGTCATCCATGAGTTTGGCTTCTCTCAGGCCATCGACGACGACTGTAACCAGACGGGTCAGATGACTGCTGCGCTGTTGGACTGGCCTCAGGTGAGACTCGTTCCTTTCCTTTTTAAAGTAGTCATTTATGCAGCGTGTTTCACAGACAAAGTAGATCAAATACTGTTGAAATACAGTTTAAAACGTTTGTATCAAAAGGAAATGGCCACGACAACTCTGTGACTGATGCAAACGGCAAATTATTGAAGAGCATATTTACATTTTACATATGAACATTTGACCACATTTGGCCCAGTTGAAGCTAAAGGCATGTGTCCTTATCCATCCTGATGTTTATAACCATTATAGCCTCCTGTGATAAACAACCGGAGTCTGTTTTTGCAGGAAGAATCGTCAATAAACTGAATCTTGAATATTTTCTGCAGTAGTAAAGTCACACACAGCGATAAAAGCAGGTGTAGAATAATCTCTGGAGCTTGTAATGAAAGTTGATAGTTTTTCCCTTTTTCAGCTGAGGCGTTGTTGTAGTACTTGGTTGTCGCCAGTAGATGGCAGTAGAGACGTGTGGCCTGGCAGCAGCTGTTGCTCAATGATCATGACTTTGATCTGAAACACTTTAAAGCATTTTAAAGCTTTTTAATCACTGCAGATATGGAGGAAGTACAAACTCATGAAGGATCTAAAGCTTTGTCTGAACTCTGCTGTTCTAAAGCACTTTATTATTTTAACTTTACATTTTGGTTTTTTCTCAGCCAATAAATACATTTTTCACATTTTAAGGAGTTTAATGGTTACAATCAAAGATGAATTTGGACCTGTCTGAACTCCAAGCTCACAAATGCAAAAGTTTATCAAAATTTCACGTGTATTTCACCTGGACTGTGTTTTCCTCAGTTGCGAAACGGAAATGTAAAAATTCTATTGGATTATTGACAGTAGCTCCTCCCTCCTTTTATTTACTGTAGATTTTGGAAATATAGTTATTCGTCCTCTGCATTTGACCCATCTTGAGCACCGTACGACAGAGCTGGAGGATGTTTCCTATTGTACATGGTTTTAGTCGAAGGGTAACCCGTAGCACCCACCCCGTAGGAGGAAACCTCCGACAGACACAGGGAGAACATGCAAACTCTGCTCAGAAAGGTGCTGAGAAGTGAGAACGTCGGCTGAGTGGTTAATGCTTTAGATAAGAGATGGGAGATCCTTTACTCGTCCCACAGTGGGGAAATTTCAGTGTTGCAGCGCACAAACAGGACAGTGGTAAGAGGCACAGGGAGAACACACAATAAGTAGTAGCTGTGTTTCTTAGCTGTCAATGCTGTAAATGCTTTCAAAAATAAAATATATAGCAAAGTTATATCCAGGGTAATAAGTATAAAGTCAAATACTGAAGTTGCAGTATATATTAACGTAGCAACTTACTTTTTTTTCCTCTGTGAAGTACGTATTCAGGGCTTTCTGAAACTAGTTTTGATTTGTCTGTGCGATGCACGGAGGATAAACTACGCTTGTCTGAAAGTCTGTGTCCATAGCGTGACCCGTGAGGTACAAACAGCTGTGAGATACAAACACACGGGGACTGCCAAAGATCGTCAGAGAGTGAGATGTCTCACTCCTCTGCGTTTACTTGTTCTCCCACAGTTGAAACTACAGCTGCGATTGCAATAACCGGCTGAAGAGTGCGCATTATTGATAAAGACGATAATAAATACAGTAAAATGACATTATGTGTATATGATGTATATAAATATATGTATTATATAAATAATCGATGTTTTCTTTTTTTGGCTCAGTTTCTTATTTTTTACGTTTTTTACAGCTGTACTACAGAAGCAACCCCAGCATTATAGACAAACTGCTTCAGGAAGGGCATCAGGAGTACAGAGTTTTTTGCTTTTATAGTGGAATTTTGTAAAAAGTATAATAGTTAGAGATTCAATTTTTTTCCCCATTATCCCCAAGACCATAAATAACATTTCTGTGCAGTGTAAAAAGTTGTTTATAGCATTTCATTGTGTTTTTTCAATACATTTTTGTTAAATTGATTTTCCGTTTGATTTTTTTCTTTGTTTTCATGATTCCACAATTTTTATATAATTCATATGACATTTTTACAATATGAATATTCTAAAACCCCAGGTTGTACTGAAAAAAACAAAAGATGACTGTTTTATGAACAATTATACACAAAGAAAACCAGGCGAGGAAAGTTCCCCAAAATGACCCATGTGCATAGAGGGTTCACTCTTGCTTTAAAATACATTGTTTTGATTTGAAGGCAGTGGTTTCAGTGATTTTTCTCTTCTTCGTCGCAGGGAACGTTTGCATCAGAGGTGACACTGGAGGGAGACAAGATCAAAGTGGTGAGAGAGATCGACGGCGGACTGGAGACCATCGTAATCAACTCTCCTGCAGTTCTGACCGCCGACCTGAGGCTCAACACGCCCCGATACGCCACGCTGCCCAACATCATGGTACACACACACACACACACACTGCCCAACATCATGGTACACACACACACACACACACTGCCCAACATCATGGTACACACACACACACACACACTGCCCAACATCATGGTACACACACACACACACACACTGCCCAACATCATGGTACACACACACACACACACACACACTGCCCAACATCATGGTACACACACACACACACACACTGCCCAACATCATGGTACACACACACACACACACACTGCCCAACATCATGGTACACACACACACACACACGCTGCCCAACATCATGGTACACACACACACACACACACTGCCCAACATCATGGTACACACACACACACACACACTGCCCAACATCATGGTACACACACACACACACACGCTGCCCAACATCATGGTACACACACACACACACACACACACTGCCCAACATCATGGTACACACACACACACACACACTGCCCAACATCATGGTACACACACACACACACACACGCTGCCCAACATCATGGTACACACACACACACACACACTGCCCAACATCATGGTACACACACACACACACACACACACACTGCCCAAATTCATGGTACACACACACACACTGCCCAACATCATGGTACACACACACACGCTGCCCAACATCATGGTACACACACACACTGCCCAACATCATGGTACACACACACACTGCCCAACATCATGGTACACACACACACGCTGCCCAACATCATGGTACACACACACACACACACTGCCCAACATCATGGTACACACACACACACACACACACACACGCTGCCCAACATCATGGTACACACACACACGCTGCCCAACATCATGGTACACAAACGCACGCACGCACGCACCGCACGCACACACACACACACGCTGCCCAACATCATGGTACACACACGCTGCCCAACATCATGGTACACACACGCTGCCCAACATCATGGTACACACACACTGCCCAACATCATGATACACACACGCTGCCCAACATCATGGTACACACACGCTGCCCAACATCATGGTACACACACGCTGCCCAACATCATGGTACACACACACACGCTGCCCAACATCATGGTACACACACACACACACACGCTGCCCAACATTATGGTACACACACACACACACACGCTGCCCAACATTATGGTACACACACACACACACACACGCTGCCCAACATTATGGTACACACACACACACACACGCTGCCCAACATTATGGTACACACACACACACACACACACACACACACACACACACACACGCTGCCCAACATTATGACACACACACACACGCTGCCCAACATTATGACACACACACACACACACGCTGCCCAACATTATGGTACACACACACACACACGCTGCCCAACATTATGGTACACACACACACACACGCTGCCCAACATTATGGTACACACACACACACACGCTGCCCAACATTATGGTACACACACACACACACGCTGCCCAACATTATGGTACACACACACACACACGCTGCCCAACATTATGGTACACACACATACACACGCTGCCCAACATTATGGTACACACACACACACACGCTGCCCAACATTATGGTACACACACACACACACGCTGCCCAACATTATGGTACACACACACACACACGCTGCCCAACATTATGGTACACACACACACACACGCTGCCCAACATTATGGTACACACACACACACACACGCTGCCCAACATCATGGTACACACACACACACACACTGCCCAACATTATGGTACACACACACACACACGCTGCCCAACATTATGGTACACACACACACACACACACACACACGCTGCCCAACATCATGGTACACACACACACACACACACACACACGCTGCCCAACATCATGGTACACACACACACACACACACACGCTGCCCAACATTATGGTACACACACACACACACACACACGCTGCCCAACATCATGGTACACACACACACACGCTGCCCAACATCATGGTACACACACACACACACACACGCTGCCCAACATCATGGTACACACACACACACACACACGCTGCCCAACATCATGGTACACACACACACACACACACGCTGCCCAACATCATGGTACACACACACACACCACACACACACACACCGCTGCCCAACATCATGGTACACACACACACACGCTGCCCAACATCATGGTACACACACACATACACACACGCTGCCCAACATCATGGTACACACACACACACACACACGCTGCCCAACATCATGGTACACACACACACACACACACGCTGCCCAACATCATGGTACACACACACATACTGGTTTATGTGATTTAGACCGACAAAATCCTGAAACAGGTATGTTGGTGCATTACACTGACACAACTTTTCCTTGACTCTAGAGGAATAGAACTAAGGCTAAACCAATAAAAAAAAAATTAGCACACTTTAGCTTCCCTAAAGAAGCTACAGAGCCTGAGATATCAGACCTGACTATATGATGGTTTGTGGTGACTTTTGAATTGTGGTTTCTGGTGACACGACAGGTTTATGAAGACTTTAAAGGGACAAGGAAGCCACGCCCCCCACACCCCAAATTAACATAAATACACAACTAGGTATTACACTGCCAGACACCACCATGCATCTGGGGGACACAACCAAACCATATCATTCAGAGGTTGTAAAACATAATCCACTGAAGTCTTTAGCATTTTTGTATGACAAATGCAAAAGAGAGAATTGAAATAGTGCTTCAACATTGACTTCAGTGCCTAAGAAACAAACACAGACCATGAACGATAAACAAAAGTATCATTTTATTTAGAACATCAGCTCTAAATAAAAACAGCACCTTTTGGGAATATATGCCCAGTCTCCACCTCCCTAGGTAAACGGAGTTATCTTCTTCTTTATCTTCTCTACCAGCTGTGTGACCACAATTATGGCTTTAGTTTTGCAAGAATCATTGAATCAGATTAGAACAATCGCAATTAGCATTAGGATTTGACTGTCCAATCAGATTCAATGATTCATGCTAAACTGAAGCCACAAGGGGGTCGCCAGACTCAGAACGGCTGGATGAACAGGGGAAAGGTAAAACTTAAATTGTTTAACTCAAAGGAAAATGAACATGATGGTGGTGTGTCACTTTGATCTCTTAGTATAGACTTCCAACAAACAAAACATGGCTGTGTTCAACAGCAGCCAGCTGGTTATAAAATATAACTTGAACCATATAAACAATACTGCACAATCCAAATAAAAGGATATTACCAAGTGAGTTAGGCTGCAATAACAGAAGAAATGAAATAGAAGCAAATTGTGCTTTAGATCCATCAGCATCATTTTTGTTTTGTTTTAGTTTTCCCTCTGGGTTGTGGTTATTCGGTTTCTCACAAAGTCTCTTATTAACTGTTCTGTTCTTTGTGACAACACAGGGTCTTCTGCCATTTTGCATTGGCTGCATTCAGCTTTGGAGGCAAGTTTTCCTTTGGAAATGTGATTTCCAAAATGTCGTATCACCGCAGCAACCTCAGCTTTTGACCACATTCTTTTTGGGAGTCTTCTTGCTTTAGACTCTTGAACTGCATTTTTTCCTGAAAGAAATGTAAGAAGGAAAATAAAAATTAGAAGCTGTTAAAGGAAACTAAAGTCAAGTCCAATTGATGCTACAGGTTATTTCCTACTAAAGGAAGAGCTCTTCACAGAAAGCAAAGGTTATTGGGGAATGGGGTCAGGCAAGGGGAATGACCATAGTATATAATAAAAGTTAAGGCAATAAAAATAAAAAAAAAAAAATAGTTGACATCCCTTAGGCACAAGGGCCTAGAAGAACCCCAGCGACCCAGCCCCCGCCGTTTGGATACATATAGTGTATCCTCCTCTCCAGGACCTCTGGAAGCTGAGGAGTGTCCTCTGTATTTAGAACACACCCCGCTCTTTAAGAGGGGACCCCACCTTGGTCTGCCAATCTAGAGGAACTGCCCAGATGTTCACTCCATTTTCTATTAATTTCACTTAATTTCCTCACATTATTCTGGAGGTCTAAAGTCATTGCATATCTTAGCATTATCAAATACCCAAACACTGGTCTTACCTTCAGATTGAGGTGTAGTGCCTCCTGCTGTGGATGTCACTTCAGATAGTATTTCTAATGAAAACAAAATAGAACTCATCAGGAGTGTATTGTCTATAGAACCTGTCACTAGCTGCTGTTGCCCAAGATGCTGAGAGAGCACCCAGTACAAACATATTACTTACTGAAGTCCTCAGAGTTCTGCGACAGCTCCACGATGGGACAGCCTGAGGATTGACCCAGACTTTCCATGTCCTCAAGTTGTGGTTCCTTAGCCTCTGTGCTGCTGTCCTCAGAGTCACTGCCACTGTCCTTAGCTTCAGTGTCACTGAATGATATCTCATCTGGACAAAAAGGGAATCAGACAAAAGCAACAGGCACACTTTACTGATGAATCAAAGATGGGACAGAACAACGCCTGATTCTCTGAATTAAGCATATTTTTCCCCCAATATCGGTGGCCTTGGAAGAACTGATGCTTTGTAATAGGCAAAGTGTATTCCACTTGTTGAGATTTATACTATCTTCCATTTTCTCACTTTGAATCAGTAAAACTGACTAAAAAGCAAATGCATGCGTTCCCCACATCATCAGCAGGGGGCCTTTGTGTGTGGAGTTTGCATATTCTCCCCGTGTTCCCTTTGGTAGCTAATGTAAGCTACTCTAACAAAAACATGCACCAGTCTGTACCCGGGCACCCCTCCCCCTGGCCAGCCGGGGCGCCCGAGGAGGCGGGGAGGATCTGCCTGGAATAACGTGATCCTTCCACACGGCACGTCCAGCTGTGAAAACTCTGCCCCCTCGGGTGGAAAGAAGGATCTGCTTCAGTGCAATGCCCAGGACTATACATTAGGTAGGAGCACCGGGTGGTAAAAATGGAAAAAAAACCTTGGGAAAGACATTTTTGAA